GTGTGTGTGTGTGTGTGTGTGTGTGTGTGTGTGTGTGTGTGTGTGTATGTGTGTATGTGTGTACTTTCTTGTCATTTCTGGATTCCTAGGAATTTCCTTATTTTGCCTCTAGTTCAGGTATGCATTAAGATTATTTTATAAAAACATATTTTATCTAACATGTTTAGGTATTTTATATCAGAAGGCATTTTTCTGATCCTCTATTCCAAGAGTTGGCAAACTTCCACAAAGATCCCGATAGTAAATATTCTCAGCTTTGTGGGTCATGTGATTTCTGTCACATTTACCCAACTAATTCACATTTATCTTTCCTATCTTCATCAACATCACTTGAGTACTATTTTATTTATCATTATTTAAGTGGTAGGAAATCAACTAGCAGTCAGAAAACAAAAAAGACCTTCCATTGGAGTCCCACACTCCAACTCCCTCCCATATTTGAATAAAAATTTAATGCTAATATTTGCCGAGTTTTTACTGTGGTTCAGGCACTGTCCTAAGTTCCTTTCCGGTGTTAACTCATTTATATCGCACAACAGTACAAAAGACAAAGACTATCATTATCTCCATTTGGAAACTGAGGCTCCATTATGTAAACCACACCACTGAGGACACCAACTCAGGTCTGTCAGACTCCAGAAACCATGATCTACTCAGATGTTTGCTTCCTAACATCCACTCTTCTGTCTCTTGATAAGTTGCTAGTTATCACACAGGTGTCTCCCTTCTCTAGCAGTCACTGTGCCTCATGAGCAGATGATCTCGTCCCAGCTCCAGGGAAAGGCTTATTGATCCCATGTGCTCTAACCCTCTGGACAATGACTGACTTAGGTCTGAGATTTCTGAACAAATCAGTACATGGTATATCTCAGGGCCACAGAGGTTGGTCAGAAATGAACATGTAACCTCAACCAGGCTGAGGAGATGTGAGGGTTTCTAGAAAAGAAGTTTCATCAGTCTTGGGAGAGAGCCTCAGAGCCAGCCTCTCTTTATCCAAAGATTGCCATATATGGGTGTGAAGCCCAAAGCTATAGCAACCACCTTATTCATAATGGGGATAAAGCCAGGACAAAACGGCAGAGTTGACAAACACACAGACCAAGGCAGCTAGAGCTCTAGTTGAGTCATAGCAGTGCACCACTCCAGGGCTGGATTTTTTCCACTGTATACTCAACACATCATCTTTGTGTTTTTTTAAGCCAATTTCAATTGGCTTTTCTTTCAACTGAAAGTAACGCAATACAATTACTTGAAGTCTTCCTGGATTTGGCCTCAGCATACCTTTCTAGTTCTTATTCACACTTGTCTGGGGCCAAATAAATCACCCAGAGTTTCCCAAACACACCCCACCATTCATGCATTTGCAAGTACTGTTCTTTCTGCTTGGAATGCCCTTTGCTCTCCTCTTCCTGGAGAACTCACGTTGCATTGCAATCCTGCATTTCACATGTCTGTCTCTACCACTTTATGTGGCCATGTCATTTTTGTCTTCAGATCCTTTGTGCCTCACATGCACTTAACACATATTAAGAACTTCAAGAAGTGTCTGTAGAATTAATAAAAATGATGGGCAGTATGGAAATCAATCACAATAGTCTTTCTCTACAAGATACTTAACCATTTAGATCAATGCTGCCTAATAAAACTTCTACGAGAATAGAAATGTTCTATAACTGTCCAATAAACTAGCCACATATGGCCATTGAGCACTTGGAATATGGCTAGTATGACCGAGGAAATGAATTTTAAATTTCACTTAATTATAATTTATTTAAATTTAAACAGCCACATACGGCAAGTGGCTACTACACTGAATAGCACAGATCTAGACAACAAATAAAAAATTTCAAAAGGTGGAAATGGGTCATCTAAAGGATTTTACATACTAAACTAAGTGAAAGTATCTGAAGATGGTGTTATTTTGACTCTAAATTAATATAATCCAGAGGTGTCTTCCACTTTTTAAAAGTGGTCCATCATCATAATTTAAAATAATATAAACTTAGCTTACTTTATTATGAATTTTCAGTTTCAAAGCAAATAAGAGCAATAATATCTTGTATCTCATAAGTACCCTTGTTGGGTAGCTAATTTCTTGCACAGAGCTTTATCCACAGCCAATCAGTAATAGCACCCTTATATTCTGAAGCATACATAATTTGTGTAGTAGAAACTTTTCGGTCTTGGGACATCCAGAAATGAAATACAGCAGATTTTTTTTTTCCATGGAAAAATCTCTTCACAGGTATCATATTCCACATAGTGCTAAGAAAGTAGGCATTTGCATAAGCAATGGCTTGTTTTTCAATAGTCAGCTAGTAGAATCTGTTCTTGTTACCCACAAAATGTCCACATAGAAATGGTGGTTTACACAGGTAAGTTTTTCAGCTATATTATGCACATCAGATTCCTTTCCTCTTACAATTCTTTAAGGGAAAAGTTTATGGAGAAAAAAACATCTACACAAATAAACTCAAATTAGCATAGATTAATAAAAAGTGAGGCCATAGGGGATAGTGGTGAAGGCCATACCTTATGATGTCAGACCTGGATTTGAATCCTGAAAGTTTTGAGTGGGGGGAGAGAGAGAAAGGAGGGAGAGGCAGAGACTCCCTGGGTGAGCAGGATATTATTGCTGTACTTTGCAGATAAAGAAACCAAGGTTTAGCAAGGTGTCTATCTTGTCTACTCTCACACAGCTCATAATTGGTAGTGCTGAGATTCAAACTCAGGTCAGGCTGTTAACTACCATCTGGTAACAACAGATAGTTCCTTGCCGATATTCATGCTGCTGGTCTTGAGATGACACTGGGAGAACCACTGTTTATAAAAGTTAACAGCTGACTATAAATAGCCCAATCGGGGAAACAGGTATGGGAATTTGCAAGGTGGTTTCACAGATACTTTATATATAGTATAATCAAGATTTCTGGAACAAAAGCAATGTTGCTGTGCAATCAAAAACACTCCATTGAAAGGAGCAGCAGGTAAAGGCTGGGTGGACCACAAGACTCTCCGCCACAATATTTAACTAGAAATCCACAGCTGGCAACAAGGCCACTGGACTAGAGAGGAATGTCTGCCATGTGATGAAAACAAAGGCCATTAGGGACGGAGAGCTGAGCACAGCTGTCTGAGGAGGGATCTGCGAGTTTACTCCAGGTTTTGGTTTTATGTCATATTAGCCTCTCAGTCTCATTCTTAAGAACCTCAGTTACCACGAAGGCAGTGGGACAGTAGTCAGACTGGGGATTTGAAGTCCGACTGTCCCATTGACTAGGAGGGGGCCCTTGGTAAGTGAACACTTCAGGTCTCAGTTTGCCCATCTATACAGTGAGGGTATTAATGGTTCTCACTTCACAGGATTGTTGCAAAGATATATGGGGTAAGTTGCGAAAAATGCTTTGAATAGTGTCTGCTCATGCTGATATCCAGTAAGTATTAGCTATGATTGTTATTTGTCCCACTGCTGAGTCAGGCCATGACATGTAGGGGAGGCTTTTCCAATTTGCATCATGGTTGGTACCAAAATCTTATCCTGGTGCCAGCAGATAAATCATCAGTGTTTCTAGGCAGTCTATGATGTGCCGTGCTATCAGATACACTATTAGACATTAGTGTTTCTACACACTGGCAAGGAGATTTTGTAAAAAAAAAAAAAAAAGAAAGAAAAATCTTAAAATTTTCCTTTTGCCAACCCTTTGTGACCCTGTGACATTCCAAAGGGCACTGTGAACAAGACACATACATTTTCTCATTTAATTCTTATGGGAAGCAGTTGTTTTCTCTAGTCTAAACACTGGAATTTCTGAAGTTTTAGAGGTAAAGTGTCAACAGATGGATAAGCCTGAATTTGGACCCAGATGTATTCAAGACCAAAGCCTATACTGCCTTTAAATTTATAAATTAAAACATGAAAAGATATACATAATGTCTTTTTTTTGAGAGGAGAGAGGGTTTGATATCCAAATGCTCATTCACAGATATAATAATTCATTTCCAATGTTTTTATCATAGAAGAATTTATGGGATAATAGAAGTATCAAGTTTCCATAAATAAAATATACAACAGCTAAACCTTATAGAGTTTAGACAACTGAAAATATTACTGCATGGCTACTTAGTAATCATATCTGTTCCATACACAATAGAAGAAAATACAATAGAAGAATATCCAAAAATTTGAATAAACACCTTATTTTTAAAAACCACCTAAATTTAGAAGAAAATTAGTGAAAAGTTCAGATGAACTCGTGGCAGATTTCAAGCCTGGAGCATCCACTCCAGGAGTTTTATCATTTTGATGCTTACTTAGTGTTCCAGAACATAGATGATCTCCTTACCTGCCCTAGTCTGAGTCCAAGCACTCTTTCCCCTCTTTGGGGAAAATACTGTGGGTTTCCACGAACAGTTGGTTGCTATCTTGTTTTCTCTGCTCTCTTCTGCCTGCGCAGATAGTCTGGTCCCCACTTGTAATTTGGGGCTACAAGAGAACACTGTAGTGAGTCCTCTTGCCCTAAGGCATTGCCCACCGCACAAGCGTTTCCTATAAGGCATACCTTACTGTTCAGGATCTGGAAAACCCTCTGCTGGAGTGTCTGGCCAGCCTTGGGCCTCACAAGGATGTAAATGACTTTCAGGTCAGGGCTGGTGCGAAACAGCTTCTCCATCAGCACTTTGCCCATGAAGCCTGTGGCCCCCGTGATGAGAATGGACTTGCCACCATAGAAAGCTGCGATCGTGGACATGGTTCCTCCCTTTCTCTGATAGCTCTGGAAAGAGGTTCCTAAAAAGGAAGAGGAAATAACAAAAGATTACATTCTCAGAAGTTCTAAAAGGCAAAGTCACTGAAAATGTTTCTAGTGCTTCCAGGAGTTCTGAGTGCAGAAAAAGTAGGTCAGACAGAATGAGAGCATCATGGCTTTTAGGCAACACGATTCACTTCGATCAATATTTATCGAGCTTACTGTGCATGCTAGACTTTATGCCAGGAACAGGGGGCAAGAAATGAGTAAGACGTGCTTCCTGCTTTCAAGGAATTGCTTGTAGTCTAGTGGAGAAGACAGACGCGTAAAGAGATTGTTAAAGAGAATGGTAGGTGCTAAAATAAAGGGAGCACACAGGAGGGGCACATGGCAGGGTCTGGAAAGAAACTTCAGGAAAGCATCTGTAGGTGGTGACCCCTGAGTTGAAACTGGAAGGCAGAGAAGGGCTGAGGTCAGGGTGTGCAGGCCAAGGAAAGAGCAAGAGCAGAGGTGCAGTGGCATGGCGCAGCGTGCTGCAGCGGGGAGAAAAGGGACTCGGTGTTACGGAATGTCGGTGAGAAGGCCAGGGCCCAGAGCCTGTGAAACCAAGGCTTAGAACAGCTGCCACATTTTTTAAAATTATGATGTAATTAGTATTTCAGTTACAGGTTTGTTTAGAGAACATATTGGAGCAAATAACACGTTATTCTCTTCCTTGAGCTGAAAATGGGTTGAGTGCCAGCCTTTCCTTCATATGCTACTTATGGGGCTGAGACATTGCAAAAGACAAAGGCAAAGGAGGTCGAATAAGGGTGGCCACAAACCTCTGTAGGCTTTGGTGTGCCCTGAAATAGCACCGTAAGGCCCCTGTTTGCAGAAGCACAGGGAAGGAGTTAGCAATCTGGTAGGAGGCCAGATGTAGCACTTAGATTCTGTGATGCTCGAAAATAAAAAGCACTGCATGCTGTAGATACGCAACAGGAAGGGTTTTGTCTTTCAGTTCAGGTTGAGGACTGTTGACTGGAGGCAGCAGCAGAGAGCTTAGAAAAAACAGTGCTGGAGGTGTGGCAGCAGATCTTCCTTTTTGGCCACTAACTTAGTCAGTTGTAGAAAGGCTCCCATTGCCTGTGCAGACCTGGTTTGGGTGGATCCTACAGAACACAACTCCAGGGACTGCCCTGACATCAAGGCTTAGGAAGAAGAAAAAACAAATCAAAGAGTCAACACCCTGCTCTTCAACTCTGGTCCAGATGGCTCTGCTAGCAACTCCTTAAGAAACAATGACATTTCATAATCATAATTTGTATTTTGAGGATCTTCAGACCATGTTCTTTGGCAGAACTCTTTGCCGTTGGGGGATAATTTACTCAATGAATAATCGAGCACCTCCCATGCCGGATCCTATGCTGAGTCCTAAAGGCACACTGATGAATAAGGCAGACACTCTAGCACTGGAAACCAGCAATATAAAGGCAAATAAATATGAAAACAAGTTAACTACACACTGTAACTCATGCTATGAAGTAGACAAAACAGGGATTAGTGACATAAATCACCCCCAATCATCAATGGTATTCACTTTAGGAAATCCGAATTTTGACCCATATTAGCTATGTTCACTGAGTGACTAGTGAAATCCCTTTTTATTGAGGATTGATGTGAGAAATATTATTTTGAAGAGTATATTTGGATCTTGTGCAAATAGCAATTCATGATGTTTTTTGTCATGTTACATAATGTTACTCATATTATAATCCACCCAATGACTTTCTCAACAATTTAGCACTTGGAAAAAGTATTGAATATTCTTGCCTTGCCTGCCTTGAAGTTCAGAAAAGTCGTGTCCCCAAGTCTGGAAGGCAGGATAGCATCCTAGATTCACACACAAGTTCTAAGCAGACCATCGAAGTCAGACCCTACAGTTCTACTGCTCGCTAGCTGTGCGACCTCAGGCACATTATTAACCTCTCTATACTTCAGTTTCCTCACCAGTAAAATGGGGCAAATAAAAGAATCCACTTAAAGTGCTGTGGTAAGGATGAAATTAATTACTAGGTGTAAAACCCTTAGAAATATCAGTTGCTTATAGCATATACTCAACTTTTAGCTACTAGTATAGTCACTGGTTTTATATTTTCCCTCTTAATGATTTCTAGCTTTTCCTTTTGACATTTATTTTAAATGTCCTATCTTACACATTTTATATGCACTCTTTTATAAATAGGAGACAATTTATAACTCAATAAATCATAACAGCCAGGTAAAGTATGTTCACCAAATTTAACTATACTTCATGATGAATCTTGTCTTTTTCTTTACATATAAAAATGTTTAGGTATTGGGCATAAATGACCATGGTTGGCAAGAAAATATAGAAGGAAAACTGAGTTTGGATAGGGTGACTTACCAACTTCACTTACTCTGAAGATGTCGCTTGCTTGTCTTGTAATATCATAGACTCTAGCAGAGTCATATTTTCTAGACATGCAAACATACTGTTAAGATATTTTGGTCCCAGACAGTTTGGCAACATGTGATTTAAAATTTTGGAGAGAAGGTAAGACATATCTAATAAGCCTATTTCTTATGGACAAAGGAAGGCTCAATGTGTCCCAAAAGAATAGAATTTGCCTGTTCTGTCCAGAGTCCCAATACTTCCCAAACACAACAAAAATCACGGCAGAGTACGCTGAGCACTTCGACAGGAAACAAAACATAAACCAGTATCTTCTGGCCCTCGTTATCCAGTTATCACAGATAGGTGGCAGAGGAGCTGTGGCCATGATTCTAATCAATTCAAGTGATGCTGAAAATGTCAAAAAGAATTCCTCACCCTCAGATCAAAGCCGCATCAGAGATGTTTCTTCTACCTCTTGCTTCTATTGCTAAGATAGTACTACCGGCCCCAGTAACTCCTATATATAATTCGAGTAATTTGTATTTACTCAAATTTGTACAATTTTGTTAGGTCTGGGAATTTTTTTTAACCTTTAATATATAATTCATTAAAATAATAAAATTAATTATGCTAAAAAAAACTAAAATAATTTTGCATCAGTAACGGAGTATATGCAACTCTAGAAGGTCCTCCCTCTCCATTGGACAGCTGACTGGGGCATGGCTTGCCTTGCATATCTTCTCAGACTACCAATGCACAGAACAAAGTCTAATTTCCTATCCCTCATGCTCATAAGATAGTTTGTGAGAAGCACAGGTCATGCTGACAATCTCTGGAACATGAATCCTGCCAATGATCCTGTATAATGCAGAATATCTAATACTTGAATGAAAAAAAAGGGACCTATTGGAGTCAGTCTCTATATTTTTATTGAATGTTTATTATGTGCCAAACACTAACTAGCAATGAACAGGCCTTATATAGGTTAGATTCTTCATTTCTATTCTGGAGTATTTTTTCTCCTTAAGATCACCAGTTTTCCATGGTCATAGTAGAAGTAGGGTTTTTACTCTCCTTTGGTAGTAAAATGAGGCATTCTCATTCCTAGAGAACAGATGTTAAAATATTGAATAATTTTAGGTGTGTTACTTTATACATTTGCTGCAGGTTTCAGCATATGGAAACTTTAATTATTGATTAGGTGATTCTTCTGGAAAATAAAAAATTAGGATTCAAACACTTAAGGGAGACAAGTTTTTCCAAATGTCTTGGTAATTCTTTGGAGGGAAACATTTTTAAAAGCAAACAAAGTGCTTTGCCTCTCAGGAATCTTACTTTTGACAGGGGATTTTTGACCTTGGCATTATTGACATTTTGGGTCAGATAAAGCTTTGTTGTGAAGGCTGTCCAGTGCAATGTAGAATGTTTAGCAGCATCCCTGGCCTCTACCCACTAGATGGAAACAGCCAACTCCCCTGACCCCCATCCCACTAGCCAGGTGTGATAATCCAAAATGTCTCCAGCCTGAGCGTGAGCGAGACCCACCTCTACACAAAATAGAAAAATTCACCAGGCATGGTGGCAAGTGCCTGTAGTCCCAGCTATTTGGGAGGCTGAGGTGGGAGGACCGCTTGAGCCCAGGAGTTTGAGGTTGCAGTGAGCTATGATGAGGCCACTGTACTCCAGCCTAGGCAACAGAGTGAGACCCTGCCTCAAAAAAAAAAGTCTCCAGACTTTGCTAAACGTGCCCCAGGAAGAAAAATTGCCTCCCCCTTCAGAGTACCATTGTTCTAGAACTTCCTTTTCATCTTCATTTTATAATATTAGCACATCCTATTAAAAAGTCAAAATTTAATACTTAAAATTCTGCTTAAAAAGCTAAATACAAATATGATCCACTGCCAATCTCCATTTTATCTATATTAAATCATTGATAATTAATTACATTTACCCAAGCAAATCTTGTGTGGCACATCTTGATGTCTTATTTTTTAAGTATATATTGTTAAATTGCCTTTTAGAAATTATGAAAAGATATTATAGACATGAAGCAAAACTCTTTACCTTTAATCCTACCACACTATTATATAATTACTCTCATTCATTTCATTTTCATTAGTGGAGATGAAGGAAGATTTTTCCAGAGAAAGATTTCCCACTTTTTATTTCCACCAAATTTCTTTCAGTCTCTGTGCTATACATTAGCCTATACCCCCAGCTTTCACATAGTTTAAGCCTCTTAATTTCATTCAACCAAACCTATTATGGGCAAACTCAAGAAAGAAGGGTGATTGAGCTAGCATGCAATCACAGTGCAAAAAAGCCAGTTAGTATTGGTTGCTGTCTATGAATGATTCTAAGGATAATCAAGTCAATTTCATCTATGGGGAATTCTGTTGTCTTTTTTGAAGATTCAAAGAATGCTGTGTGTCGAGACATATTTCATGTAGACCAATAGAGTTTTGGTTGGCAACGGGCACAATAATATGCACTGGTCTATTGAAAAAAATCAGTGCTATCTTGTAAAACTCAGTAAATGAAAGTTGTTCTGCTTCATCAAAAGTAAACATTGAAATTATTTCAGTGTCTGTCAAATGAAGGAAAAGTATTTACAAAATAGTATTCAATGAAAAAAAAGGAGAA